CCCCAAAACCCCAAAACCCCAAAACCCCAAAACCCCGTTGTAGAAGATATGATGCTTTAGGCTTTTAATTTTTATCTTTGATTAAAAACTTAAATTAAATAAACAAGGAATTTTAATAGCTAAGATCTAGTAAAATAATATTTTCAATATAAATAGATTAAAGTCAAAACTTAAAAATGCTTCCTATATTAAGCTCCATGTTTTCAGGGAAACTATTCAAATCTGAGGAACATAGCTCAAGGGTTGGTTCCTCTGCCAACTCTCCTACCAAAAATAGTTTCGAATTCAACTAGTTCAGGCAAAATTCTTAAGAAAGATAAATTATGCGCCAGCCTTTAGGGAACAAAAATGATTCAAACTAGCATAGTTAAATAAAAAGAATGGTCTCTAACGTTCTTGATTATCAAAATGTCTTCAAACCTGCATAACCCAAAAATGATTAAGAAGAATTATGCAGCAGTTCTATTGATTTAACAGTTTTAAGGTAAAAGTTTAATGGAATGCAGAAACTAGCAGTTCTTGTCTATATATTCATACCACTTTTTATGAGCAAGACTCTTCTAAGTCTGTAATCAAATTATCAAGACATTGATCTTTAAAGGGATATATTCGGAGTAACCTAAATGCTATTATGGACATTAGGATTACTTACCTATTTCACCATAATTTCTTATAACTTTATGCAATCAATGCCAATGAAAAAGCTAAGATTGATCACAGCTAAATACACCAATGATACTCCATTATTTAATCATACACTCCAGAAATTATGTCGAATAGTTGAGGTTTATATCTTGAGAAAAAAGCCATGTACTAGAAGGAGATCGTAACCGATTATTAGTGATCAGTATTTTTGCTAAAAAAGAAGACCAGCCTAGCACAGTCTAAGTTTCAAGGCTGAGAGAAATTTACAGCAAAGAATTCCAGATGCCTCTTGCAATCAAAAATAGAGCTCAATGACTATAAATCCTATCTAGATAGAAAAGCTTGAAGATGATAAAAATTATGATAGATTTGATTTAATAAAAGGAGGATCTGAAGTGGCTAAGCAAAAAAGCACTGGCAATATAAGTCAGAAAGTTAGAACTTAAGAAGATAATATAAAAGCTTACTTTGAAATGAGTAAACCTACAATTGAACATCAAGATTAGTAATATACACAATCTTATGGTAATCAAGTAACATTTTAAAGAAGATAAACATACTTTAAAGGAAAAGACATTAGTAATAAAGAAAATAAAAAAACTAATGCCACCAATAATAATGACATTAACCAAAATTTAAATGCTCAGAATCCCAATCCTCAATAGCAATATGATGACTTTAATTCATTTAGTTCCCTTGCAATTAACTCAATGATGATGAAACAAGAATTGAATACTTTGCAAACTAAAAGATATTAAGGAAGCCCCAATGGTAGATTTATTGATGAGAGAATAACAGAAAAGAATGAGGATGATGACTAGTCTGATTTATCACTCAGCCAAGAATCTGATTATGATTAGATGGAAATCCTTGACTAAATCAAGTATGAAAATGGTCAATACAAGATTCAAGTCAATGATAAAACTATCTAAGGATTAAGCCCATTTACGAAATCGTCTAATAGTCCATAATTCAATATTTCAGTTAATTCTACGACAAATATAAATTTAAACACAAATAGCTTTGGGACTAATAATACTCGTGATAACACAAGTGAAATTGCATAATCAAAAAACCGAAAGAGAATATAGCTTAAAGATTTGCAAAGATTCCACTCTCAAGATCATAGCGAATCTATTATACAATCTCAAAATAAGCTTGCTTAAAAACTAATCGTTAAAGAAAGAAGACAATCTAATCTTGCTAAATCAGTACCTGAATTATTCTAACCCATAGTAAAGAACTCTTTACCATTGCAACAGTCTAATGAATCATCAAGTATGGGTAAGAATAACCAATTCTTAGTTATCAATCATAATGAGCAAGATTAAGACTCCAATAGAAGCTCTAAAATGAGCTCATCTCCGACATTTACTTTATTTTCCAATAAAAATAATGATTAATTCGACTCTAATTTCTTTATAAAAAAGACCAACAGTGAATAGCATACACTATAAAGGTAGAAAACAAATTTTAAAGTAATAGATATAGAGATGGGAGAACTTTACTTGAAATTCAACAAATTTAGTTGTCTCTATCTATTTGGATTCTACATGTTTTTTATTCAGTACAGAGAGTACTATCTCCAAATGCCATTTGTTTTTTAGCTCGCATTCTACACACTTCAGGGCTATATATCAGATTGCATTATTATCAACCAAAAGATTAAAAAAGTGTACATGGTTGCAATATTTTCATCATTCTAATTTTAGCCTAGCATAACCTATTCATTCAATATAGAAAAAGTAGTTCATGTCATCGTTAATTCCTTATTCTTATTTATGACTTGTCAAGGAATTAATAATAACCATAAGGAAATCAGCTAGAGATAAATGACAAATGAAAAATTAGATTAGATAATTAAGAGTGACTAGCATCTAAAAAATCTTGTCTAACTAATACCATATGGAATAGCAGTTCTAAATTTGGAAGATGTTTCTCATTTCAATCATCCATTTGGAAAGGTTTTAGGGGTTAAAAATTAAAAATAAGTAATTTAGGCTTTAACAAAATTTTAAAGAAAAATAAAGGAGGAAGATCAAATCCCAAGCCAAAATCATGCAAGACTTGATGTAAATGATCATAATCCAAGAATGCTCAAGAATAAAAAACTAAGTGTTTCCAATTTAAAAGAGGATTTAGAGTATATTCTAAAAAATAAAGAGATAGCTTTTAAGGAGGCTAATAATATCTTCGATATATATTACATCGATAAGGATGAAGGGTAGAGATTAAGTTCTGCTCGAGGCAATTTAACTACACCTAACTAACCTTCATCAATCGATGTTCATTAAAATAACTAAGCTTAAAAGATTTATAGTATCTCAATATCGCCAATAACCTGGGGAGATAAAGAATGTTTGCTATTGACTGTCAAAGATATCACACATGAAAAAATTATTGATCAGAAATAATTAATGGATAGACTCAAAAACATGATTTTTAAAAGCTTTTCTCATGAACTAAAGACTCCATTAAATGGAATAATAATAAGTTTAGAAACATCCAATCATATATCTAAGCAAGTAATGAGTAAATTAAGACGAGATAAGCCTAAAGGTAATATATAGATAGATGATATTTAAAAAAGTAGCAAATCTCTCAGATAACAATTAAAGATAATCGAATCATGCTCATATGTACTTAAAAACATTATGCATGATTTCTTTGACTATCATTAGTTGCAGACTAATGAACTAAGCCTGAATGTAAAGGAATTCGATTTGAAAACATGTATTAAAGACATTACGAGAATAGTGAAGCATTAAATTAAGTTTGACAAAGTAAAGTTCAAGAGTAGCATTACCTACCAGAACAAAAATGGATTTATACAAGATAATATTTAGCATAATATCCGAATGACTTGTGATAAGGACAGGTTACAGCAAATATTATTGAATTTACTCATGAATTCAATTAAATTTACTAACAAGGGGTTCATTGAACTCTAGGTATATGTGAAACATTTAGCCACACCTTAAATGATATAATTTAAAGTTAGAGATAGTGGTATTGGTATAGAATCTGAGAGATTACCCTACATCTTCAACTTATTTGAGAAGAATGAAAACTCTAATTTCCAATAATACTTGAAATCTAAAAGTAAATCAGCAAGAATGGGGTTACCAATAAGCTAAAATTTATGTAATATGATGGGAGGCCACATTGTTGTTAAATCTTTGGTAGGTTAAGGATCAACTTTTACCTTTCATATACCGCTGATTCCCCACAATTAAGCATCATCTTTCTAATTTCTCTCAAACAATGAATCCTATAGTTTTGATAATCAATTCAAAAGTAATGAAGAGAATAACCAAAATTCTATAATGTCCAGGACTGACAATTCGCCAAATAATCTCATTAACGTTGAAAATCTTGACCAAGACAGAAATCGTTTACTTTAAGAATTAACAATACAAACTAAGCAGTAATCAGCAATTTCCAGGAAGAGAGATTAAGATGAAATATCTTCAGAGGGAGGTGATGAAGATTACAGAGCAGATTTTATTGATGAAGACTTTTAAAAGCACAGTTCAAAAGATTTAATCTGGGAGACCAGTCAAAAACTAGGCTAATTTGAGTTGGTTTTTAACTCTCCTAACCAGAAAAATTTCAAGATTCAGTAAGAACTTTAGAGCAATATGAATGCAAATCTTCTTTATTATGATGAGGAAGAAAAATCTACACCAAAACTTAATCATTACGTAGACTAATTTGGATTAAATGATAAATCTACCTTCTCTCCAAATAGAATAAAACAGATAAAAAGCAATGATGTTCAAAGATTTTCTAGCATTTCTAACATAGGTCAATTCCTAAAACACAATCTTAAAGATGTCAACCAAGAGGAAGAAAAATCAGAGGATTCTTATGAAAAAAGTAATAGTGAATCATTAACAAGTGAGTAATTGAAAGAGAACTAGGACTAGAATTAAGATTAGGAGAGAATTGATAGAGTCTCTAGTTTGATTAATTCTCGAGACTTTAATTTCAGTTTTCAACATAATCTTGGTGACTCTCACAAACAGTCATAGATATCGTCAACTACATCCTTCGCTAAAAATAGAGTGAGTTCACTTGGCTTTGTAGACTGTATATCTAGTGAAGATGGGACTAGGAAAAATTCTAATAAAGGTGTAATAAGACATGGACAGAGTTTTTCTATTAGGAGAGATAGTGTTATGGACAAGGAATTTAGACCCATCTTTAAAAAAGAAGGAAGCTAAAAGGACTATTTAATGCCACTGCATTCTTATATAAGGAAAGTTGAGACAAACTTAGTTAGTAGATCTTTCAACTCAAGTTTTGTTTGTAATAAAAAGATGTCAAATAAATGTATTCTTGATTCAATAGGACTTAAAAACTAGAATCAAGATTTGGCGTTGATGAATTAAAATGAGAGATTAAGTTAATCGTAGATTATTGAGGAACCGTTAGATTGCATACTCGATTCTGAAAGTTCTTAGGCAATAATGTTTGATCCTCTTTTGAGGACTTTGGAAGTGAAGAATGAGAAAAATCCATTCAATGCTTTGAATGGCTTGGCTGATTCAAAATATTTAACAAATTATGTAAAGAATTCAGATAGAAAAGGAAATAAAAAATATTCAACGAGGAAGCTTGCTCATTTGAATGTTAGTCAAGCAGATAACATCTATCCTATCTAAGACGATCTAAATTCTCCAGAAATGATATCTCTTACCCCTCCAAGACATACAGGCAATCTTTTTGTAGAAGAATGTTCTCATAGAGAAGATGACTAAAAATTCTTTGACACAATTCATAAGAATCAAACTGAGGCCCGACCTTCATCACTGGGAATAGTAGATTCTGAAAATTAAATTGAAAGAATAATAAGTCAGATCAATAACACCGATTAAAGCTAATGTGATATGCGAAAAGACAAAAAGAAACTTAAATTTAGTGACAAAGAAGAGATCAAAGATGGTAGTAGAAGTGATTAGATTATTAACCCAGTTTTGAAATTTGAGTCCTTACATAGCTTCGCGGGAATAGGATCATCCGAAAAGAAATTCATTGAACCATAGCAGCAAGTTATAGATAAAACTGGTGACAGCATTCAGTAAAAATAGTAGAAAAAAGGTGGTAGTAGAAGAAAGCCATTAATCTTTTCATTTCTGCCTAATGCTTAGTAATCGAGAGAAGAAGAATTTAAATAACCGATTAATCCGAGATAAAAACGAGAAAAGGAGTCTAAGGAATCGAGAGATAAAAAGAACAAGCAAGATAAATAAGATGATTTATTTATGTCACCTGTTGCAAAAAGAAAGGTGCTTAAGTAAAATTTGCATATCAATGCTAATCAAAATCAAAGCGAACTTAATATGGCTATAGAAGGAGAGAATGACTAGCATTAATGCCCATAAATTTTGATAGTAGATGATGTGTAGATGAACAGATTCGCTATTGAAAAAATGCTTTTGCTAATATTTGGTATCAAAGTCCTTTAAGCTGAAAACGGTTAGGAAAGCCTTGAAGTACTTATGAATTATTATCTTAATAAGGTTTGTGAATGTGATGGAATAAAGATTATTTTGATGGACATTGAAATGCCAGTTATGGACGGCATAACTGCTACCTATAAGATGAGATAACTAATGAGAGAAAACCTTGGAATTCCAGATATACCAATTATAGCCCTAACAGCATACTTGGATGAAAAAGATAACTGCCTAAGAGCAGGGATGAGAGATTTCAGTAAGAATATATTCATTAACTATCTTTTTAGTGGTAAAGCCGACATCTAAAGGCGAGCTTCAAGAAATGCTCTAAAAATATTAGATTAGAGGTCTCATAAATTGATTTACAAATCAATATTTATATGGCAAACAAATAAATGGATATATAAATTGAAGAATACAATGAAAACCATTTATTAACATCTTTTTATTGCGAATTTACACATAATTAATAGACGGGGTTTTGGGGTTTTGGGGTTTTGGGG